ATACATCTTGTGTTTACCTCGTCTCTTAATTGCATCATTTTTTCTTGCATTTGATTTAATCTCGTGTTGTTTTGTGCAGTAACATGCTATACAGGCTTGTAGCCTAGGAGCAGTAGACTATATATACCATGTAGCCTAGGTGTGTGGTAGGCTCGACCGTCTAGTTTTGTGTAAATACGCTCTATGATATTTGCGCAAAGACAAAATCACCTAACAACACAGAATGAATCCCTGTCATTAAGCGGCACATGCCTCTGTGTGTGTGTGTGTGTGTGTGTGTGTGTGTGTGTGTCTGTCTGTCTGTCTGTATATTTTTCCAGGAATATTTTATAAGTCCCAGACATGTCATTTCATCAGAATATTCCTTAGTATGTATTTCTGATAGGTGATGTCTTCTTTCATAACCACAGTGCCATTATCATACCTTGCAAAATTAACAGTAGTTTCTTGATAATATCTTTCACTCAGTTTATATTCCTATTTCCATGGTTGTTTCAAAATGTCCTTTTATAGTTGGCTTATTAAAAACAGGATCCAAACAATGTTTATACATTGTAATGGTTCTTAGCTATCTTGTCCTTTTAAATCTTTTTAAATTTCACTCTTTTTTTTATAATTTTATTTTTTGAAAAAAACTGGGATTTGTTCTACAAACATCTTCCACATTCTGGGTTTGGTTGATTGTTTTCTTGTGCTATCCTTTAAATGATTTCCCTATTCATATTTCCTATAAAATTATCAGTTAAAACTAGAGGATTGTTTAGATTCTGGCCTAAATTTTTTATAAGAATGCCTCATTGGTAGTCTGTGTATTTCCTATCACATCACCTAAAGAGGCACACACACACTGGTCTGGTTACTGATTATTGGGCTCAGGTGTTATCATCACGATTCCTCCATAATAAAATTCCCTATCAGTTCCTTATTTAACTACAGTTACAAAATAGTGATTTCTTTTTTTTCTCCTTTTGATTATGAAGAATTTCAAACATAGAGATAAAGATAACATGTTGCCCATTACCCAGCTTCGGTAATTATCAACACAAGGTTAATCTTATTTCATTTATACTCCCACATATACTTCAGTACCCCCCATACTATATTATTTTGAAACAGATCTCAAACATCATCCATTATCATCAATAAATATTTCAATAATTATTTATAAAAGATACTTTAAAAAAATATAATGGTATGACCATCTCTCTTAAAATTAACAGTTAATTCTTTAATTATTAATGGACAATCTTTGTTCAAATTCTCCAATTACTTCATATACTTTTTCACAGTTCTCTTTTCTCAATTTTAGCATTTTTTTGAGATATAATTTCTATAACATAAAATTCATCATTTTAAAGTGTGCACCAGGGGTTTTTACTATACTCATTATGTTGTGCAACTGTCACCACTGTCTTAATTCCAGAACATTTTCATCACCCCAGAGAGAAACCCCATAGCTATTAGCAATTAGTTCCAATCTCCTCATCCCCTCTAACAACTAATTTACTTGTTGTTCTATGGATTTGCCTATTCTAGACATTTCTTATAAATGGAATCATACAATATGTGGCCTTCTGTGACTGGATTCTTTCATTTAGCATAATATNTATATATATTACTCTTAAATATTTGGCTACTGAAAGCATATCAAATCTAAGTTTTCTCTAAATGTTTTGTTTACAGTGTTAGAAGATCACTGAAATGGGATGGTCTGTTAGAAGCAAATGTAAGTATTTACTTAGGAGTTCGTAATTGCATAGTAAGATTGTGTTCTTGATTTTTTTTTAACAGCTAATTTACCTTGCTAAGTATAAAAATTATCAAAAACCATTGTGACATAATTGTGATTGGTACACTGTTTTCTGTATATATTTTTGTAAATCTAATGTGTGGAAGTTCCTGGCCAGCTTGAGGTTTTCATTTAAGAGCCAAATTATTTAGAAACCTTATTGAAATAATTTAGAAATTAATTCATTATTTGTAGAAAAAAATATTCTGCCACTTAAATACACAAGAAACAGTGTGGAGCAATGGATTGCTTTAGTCTGCGTTCTGTAATCTGCTAAATTGAAATAAAAACATTAACAGCATTTTTATATCAAAAATGTAATTACCTTCCCTCAGCTATGCTGACATGATTAAACAATAAAATACTAACTAACACTGTAATAAATTTCACCATGGCAGTCACAATAAAAATAAAATTGTACTGTTGCTGTTACTTTTTGTAAATCTAGTCATAGCAAATTCCCAATGCCAGCATATCATGACATATGTTAGTTTATTATCTTTTCATACTAATATGGATCTAGATACAAACACTAATACTGAGATACTTATGGCCTCAGTAATCTTTAAGTGCAAATAAATTGGTGAGAAAGTAAATTAAAACAAGTAGCTAGTCAATAAGTAGGCTTCTACAAAATCCTGTATGAGAATGCCATTTCAAGAAATGGTTTTATATGGAATTCTTTTTTGGAAGACTTACTGGTATTTAACAATTTACCATTTTAAAAACTTCCTAGGTGCTTTTTAAAAAAATTTAAACAAAGGTGACAAAATACTGCAATGCTACTAAAAAAATCATTAGCAGTGTAATTAGCAATTTAGAGTACCATTATCCAACTTGTTCTATACAGAATGCAGCTGTGACTGTAATTCTGCATCTGTTTCTTTGGTCAGAATGGTATTTTGGTAGATGAGTAGTCCAGCTTGAAATGAAATACTGCTCTTTCCTGCCCTCAAACTGTTCTTTGGGAGATAGTAACATTATTTGAATGGAAAAGAATGGCAATTTAGGAATTCATCCTCTTCGTGAAGTACAGTTGTCATCGTGGCAGGCTTTCTATCTCTCTTTTTNAGCTTTAAGAAGCTTAGTGAGATTATGTGATTTGTCCAACCACAGGGAAAGAATTTGGCATAGAATCAAGGCTCCCTGAGTCTTATCTGCTTTACTAAGTTTATTTTCCTCCCTCCACACACACTCTTACCCTCAGCTCAGCTATTCAAAATTATATTTAATCCAGTGTTTTAAAAGTCCTGTAAGAGAACCTCAAAAATCATGTAATTTGATGAGTTTTTGAGGTCGTTCCTGGTTCTTAGTTCGGAATCAAATGATAGTTCACCTTTTTAAAAATAATTTCTTTTGTGTTAAAATATACATGACAAAATTTATCATTACAACTATTTTTAAGTGTACAGTTTTGTGGCATTATGTACATTCACATTGTAGGAGATCACCATTGTTCATGTCCAAAACTTTTTCTTTTTTGTTTTGCAAAATGAAACTTTATACCCATTAAACAGTAACTCCCTATTCACCCCTCCCATCCCATGGCAACCACCATTTTATTTGTGTCATGAATTTAACTACTTTAAGTACCTCATTTGAGTAGAATCATATAGTATTTGTCCTTTTGTGATTGCATTATTTTACTTAGCATACTGTCTTCAAGGTTCATCTGTGTTGTAGCATGTGTTAGAATTTCGTTTCCTTTTAAGGCTGAATAATATTCCATTGTATGTATTTCTATACATACAATGTATGTGTATCTATACCACGTTTTGTTTACTTATTCGTCTGTTGATGGCCACTTGAATTACTTCCACTTTTTGTCTATTGTGAATAATAATGCTATGAACATGGGTGTACAAATATCTGTTTATGTCCCTGCTTTCAATTTTGGGGGGTATATACCTAGAAGTGGAGTTGCTGAGTTATATGCTATCTCTATGTTTAAGTTTTTGAGGAACTGCCAAACTATTTTACACAGCAGCTATACCATTTTACAGTCTCACCAGCGGTGCACAAGAGTTCGTTTCTCCACATCCTGGCCAACACTTATTTTCTGTTTTTTTTGTAGCCATCCTAATGGTTGTAAAGTGGTATCTCATTGTGGTTCTGATTTGAATTTCCTTCCTATTAGTGCTGCTCTTAATATTAGTGATGTTGAGCATCTTTTCATGTGTTT